TCAACATTTAAGGCCAGGTGGTCAATTTAATACAATTCTTACAACTTGTTATTCATTTACAATTCTGGATTATCACTTTAATCCACACGTCCCCTGCGGGGAGGAAAGTACTGTAGATCTATTACCATTCAAAGTACTTACGTTATTTTTAATCTGTCAGCGCACTGTTTAATGTTCCGAGGAGCTCACACGGCACAGAGACAGAACAGAACTGGCTCCAATAAAGAAACAGGTTGGTTGAAAGGCTGAGAAAATACTTATTGTGCTCTTACTATCCAAAATGTATAAGTGGGTGTGTTGTGTGAATCAGGATAAACTAGGGACAAAAATATTCCACGGATCCACGATTTACAACCTTTATCTGCTGATAATGTAATTTCTGTGAAATGTGTGACAGCGGGCACTTGCTGTTATTTGCTCTAAGCACATTCAAGCGATGCACTCGAATGTGCACGTCCTGGTGCAGCTGCTGCCGCTTTGTAATGACAGCCGCGGCGCTCAGTGAAAGCACAGCTCTAACATGGTACCGAGCTCGGACCATATGCAGACAGAACCATGTTGCAAGTGCGGGTCTCCCTCGTATCTCCCCCGTTTCTCCCCTGTGTCTCTGACATGTCTCTCCCCTGACTCTTCCCAAAGCGCAACCAGCGCTCCCGAAATTAAAGCTCGGATACCTAAATTTTCCATTGCGTTAACGATGCATGCTGGTTGTGCGCAAAACACACCACAACAGGTCATTTAAGTTTTTATTTTGCATACTTGAGAACCCTGTGAGTCATTACTTGCCTTTTTGGGTAGAGAGTGGAATAAAAAAAAGAAAATATAGAAAAATCGACATTGTTACTTATTGCCAAACTCTTGTTAACTCATTGTATTGAGAAATACTATGTAACTTTTGACATTGGCCAAGTTATATAAATGATTCTGCAGTTCATGTATATGAATGTCTGTTTTTGATTTTCTATACCTTCTTATATAATTTAGAAAAAATGCCACCTCCACAAAAAAGATAAAAGATATCAGGAGCTTTTTTAACAGTTGGAAAGTAAGTAAGAGAAAGCACAAGTAATAGCAAATTATGAATTGTGATGATTAATCTTCTGTTAACATACATAGGAAACTCAACCAACAAGAGAGAACAATATAGGGAATGTTGAGGTAGAAGCAACAGGCCCTTCAGTGCATCAGGCGAGGTTGGAATTTTGTAGATATGCATGGGACTATGAATTGTTTTTAGGGGTGCAACGGTTTGAAAAAATCACGGTTCGGTTCGTACCTCGGTTCAGAGGCCACGGTTCGGTTCATTTTTTGGTTCATTTTTCAAAAAAAAAGTTTTGTCTTTTTAATAAACACAGCTCATGTGGACTCGGCTTCTGCTCTGACTGCCCCCCCCCCCCCCCCCCCCCTGACCTAGAAATGAATTAAGGGGAAGGAAATGGATGGATGGATGGATGGCATATTCCATCCATCCAATTATGTCTATTTAACATAATTAATGAAAAACAACACAAAGTGCAACATAAGAAGGCACTTTATGAGGATATTTACCCTAATATATTACACCACCTTCCTGATTCTCCCAAGGAGGCGCTCCATTCTGGGCCCAGCCTCATTCACTGCATTTATTTAATTTTTGGCATTATCAGTTGTGACTGGGATATTAGTACTGGGCCTTTGTCTTTCATTCCTCCGCTGCTTGTGTCAGAACCTGCGCTGTGTGACTGTGTGACTGTCGTAGAGGGGGCGTGTCTTCAGCGCCAGACTCTTCATCTCCCAGTCTGCGGTGATGAAGTGAGCGGTTCCGCTCATGGATCTATTATAGGTTCTGTTCATGGATCTATTATAGGTTCCGCGGGACGTCCAAGCGTCAGTCGTGAGCGCAGCTGAGGATGCGCGGGAGAGTTGACTTTAGCCCGGTCTGACTGTGCGTAAAGGAGCTGCTTAAATGCCGCGACAATAAGCGGTCGTTGAGACGCTTTTTTCACTCATGTCTTTCTTGGTCCACAGTGCTTACACATCGTGACAGTTTTGTCAAATATTAATTATCAGTGTAGTTACAGTGAAGCCAAAATGCTCTCATACTGGGGATTTAAATGACGCAGGGCTTTCAAGTATCTCCGTTCCTCCGCTCGCAATGACCGCGCTGTGTGTGGACTGAACAACGTGCGCACAACTTTTTTTTCATAAATCAAACCGGATCACGTCTGTACCGAACCGAAGACGTTGAACCGAACGGATCACGGATCAGTGATGAACCGTTGCACCTCTAGTTTTTAGAGATTGATCGTATATGTCAAACAATGTAGTGAGCTACTCACTGTAGATTCTAATTCAATATTTTTATTATAATATTTATTATAGGAAATTGACAGATCAGAGCATGATTTATTTCAAGTATCGAGAGCAGTTCCTGAACTGTTAGAGCCTCAGGTGAGGGCTATTATGTAGATTTGGATTAGGTTTAAGTCAGTATAGAATCATACTAAAGTTAAAGAACATCATTTGGTTGGAAATTACCTATGCCAATTACAACATATTTTACTACTATAATGATGCAAAAAGTGTTGTCTGAAATCTTTTACTAAATATAGGACACTCTGAGAAATATAATGGAAATTCAAGAAGGAGATAAAGACAAGGACAAGACAGGACTCCAGGTGAGGTTAGGATTAAGCAGTTAAAATCTTAGACCCATCAACCAATCCTAGTTTCATGAGATATTTAGCGACTGGTGTACCATGCCTAGGTTTCATTTTATTCAATGTAGAATGTGTGTTTTTATTAATACCATAAAGGAAAGTCAGACAAACAGGGAATGTGCAGTGCTGGTAGAGGATGAGGAAGTGGCTGGAGGGCTTCAGGTGAGGTTGAAAGTATTTATTTGGTTTTGTTGGTGGTTTTATTTTGTATATGCTTAGATCTGATTTGTTTAATGTACTACATGTGTTTTATTTATTATAGGGAACTCAGGTATTCAGGGAAGATGTAGTGCAGGCAGATATCGAAGCTGGGTTTCAGGTGAGGCTGGAATTATGAAGATAAAATATGGGATTTTTTAAAGTTTCATAACAGTGTATTTGCTATTTAGGAGGCAGCCAATGAGAGTCACTCTCAAGAAAGTGCCAGGGACAGCATATTTGAGATAGGTTGTAAACCATATCAGCCTGATCCTGAATCTTATTTACTATAAACATTTAAGCCATCTTGTGGACAAAGTTAGAATGAACGCAACACAAAACTCAGAAGCTCTGATCCAATTGATTTTGTTTTAACTATTAGAAAAAATCCTTAACTGCTTCTCATTCAGTCTACAGCTGAGTTTAGTATAGAAGGCAACACACTATTGCAAATATAGTGTGTAATTACACAACAAATTCTGGGGGAGAAACTCTGGACCCCGTGTCAATGGGTGCAGACTCAGGTCGTAGTGAATGTCCCCACCAAGATTGGAACCAAACCTACACCATTGTAACTATAAATTACACATAAAATGTTTGATATAATGTATAATGTACAGCTTTTATAAAGGTCAAATTTTGTTGGGATTTTACTGTACCTTGTTATCCTGAACTTTTTTTCTTGATAAATTCATGGGTTTTCTATAGATACACACTTAGGTGGAACAAACTCTGCTCATTTTCCTCGTGCTCTTGCTCTGCTCTCAGCAGCGCCTGATAAGCCAGAACGCTGCCATGCCCCTCTATGCACGTTCATGAAAGCCACACACGCATGCTTGTTGGCGCAAAGAATCAGGAAAACTCGTCCACAGCGCATAACCTGGGAGAACCACAGAAATGCCCTAATATGGGCGAGTTCCTCTCATCTTTTGGGGTCCATGTTTGTCCCATGCGCCACTGAGCACAAGCCATTGATTTGAATTGGCCGCCATCTTGGTTCACCGGGGCAGGGTCCTAATATTTACACTCTATTGTCCGGACATAAAACGAGACAGAGCTCCAGCGCCATCTGGTGGTCAGTGCAGACATCACACATACACATATTAGACAAATTAACTTTAATTCAGACACAATAAATACACTGAAGCTGTTTGTGCTCCACGCTGAGTCCAAACGGAAGGAAAGCCGTAAAAAATACATAAACATGCTCTGTCCAAACCCTTTATCACCAATATGCCAGGAGTTCTGTGTTTTCATGTATTTCACATAATTCTATTTTAAGGTTTTTGGTGCTCAGTCTGACCTCCACTCTATTTACACATGTCTGAACAATATTATAGGGTTTAGTGAAAGATAAATAGTGAAAGTTTAAACACATTGTTGAAGAGAACAGTCCAGCAGAGGGGGCTCAAACTGAACAAGTTACATGACAATGTTCTGAATCATGACAAGAGAAAGGTTTCAAAAGGACAAGTGAAAACGGCACAATCTAAAAGTATAAGTCATCATATTTTTTGAAAACGGCCTTAGAATCAACAGCTTTTTTTGTACAATCTTTATCATGAAATGTGTTTGTCTCACTCAAAATATTTGGAATATGTGACAAATAATTTAAACTGTCTGTGTCTAAACTTAAAGCACTACTATAAGTGCACTGGCCCTTCAAATATAGACTTATGATTACTGCAGCAGGGAGTGGGGGGACAGCTCTAGTAAATGACCATGGACCTGATTTAGTCCTGATCCTAGTCTTATCTGTAATGGTGCATGTGGATAGCCTTGTTGCTTCAGTTCTGGTTGAGTCCTGCTTTAGACCTATTCCTAGATCTGTGTCCTGCTTTAGTCTTGGTCCTGCTCCCCATCCTGGTGGTAGTCCAAGTCCCGGTCCTATCTATAATGCTGATATGGATAGCCTTGTTTCAGGCAGTACAGTGGAAACTCCCAGCCTGAATGTCCTGGTCCTAGCTGAAGTGCTGCATGAGTATAGCCTTGTGGCTATACATATGCTAGTACTTGACGGGTTCCAGCCCAGATGTCCAAGTCTCGGTCCTGGTCCTGGTCCTGGTCTTCGTCCTGGTCTTCGTCTTGGTCTTGGTCTCGGTCCTATCTATAGTGCTGCATGTGTATAGCCTTGTTGCTAGCGGCGCAGCGGAAGGTTCCGGGCCGGATGTCCCAGTACTTGACTGGGTTTGAGAAGAGGCTGATGGTGGTGTAGAGGCGGTGAGGTTCCTCCGGTCTCCCAGGACAGAAGTCATTCATTCCCACCGAGCGTATCTTATTACTGTGCAGAAACACCACCTGCAACCACAAAACACAGGATGAAATTGAATAAAACTGCCAGGACCTTTGTAAACAAAGTTATGAAACAGATGCCTCAAATAGGCCATATGCAAAAATCGTTTTAGAAATAATTTACACCAGTATTCCCGCCTCCCCACACACCATGCGACTGACAAGTGATTGACATGAGGGTTCACGCAGATTCTGCGCGCACTAGATGCACATTCTCTTGATTTCAGACACTAGGGGTGTTTAAAGCAGAAGTCCTGGCCTGCGGTGGCGCCCGCCGAAAGTGGCGGAAGTAGCGGGCAGGCTTACAGAGTTAAGCTAGCGGCTTTTTGTGTAAAGTTGTCCTCCAAGAATGCAGCTCTGCAGCGTCTCTGTGTCCAGAGACTTTATATAACAGCAGTTCATGGAGGTGCGCCATAAGTTTATTTTATTATCTAACGGTACTTCCGCATCGACAAACACGCTAGCTAGTTTAGTCACTACTAGAGAATGAGAACTCAGGCTGGCATATGTTCACAAGCACTGTGTCCCCCTTGTCAATCCTGGTTTAGTCCTGGTTTAGCTCCTGTTTAGACCGCTAATGACCCGAGAGGGAGAGAGAGAGATGAGGAAAACAAACAAGCATGCAAATGGCATTTATCACGGGCAGAAAAATTATTGAGCAAATTTTAATTATCATGCGATTAATTGATTTATTGAATATCACGACAGGCCTAGCAGACACCACTGGAAACGACAAAGAACAACAGCAAGACGTACGTAAAATATGATAAACCTTTATTCGTCTCAGTGGGAAAATCATCGTTGCACACACTGTATGAAAATTTCACCTCATGGTTGTGAACAGAATTATCACAATTCTCTGTATTATTGCGGTATTTTTTTTTTTTAAGTTCAGTGAATATGTTCAGAAAGCATTGATGGGCCTACACAAACTCAGTTTCACAAAAGTGAACAAATGTTAGCTGCATTTGGTTGATACATCCACTTAATTATACACTAACACAACAAACAAACAAAGTGACATGATATTATTGTGCCTTCATCTAGCGCTCAATAACACTGTCTTGATTTCACCGTCTCATCTATTACTGTTTACCTGTTTAGCTTAGCATATTAGCTGCTAACAGGCACCTAGATGCAACTAGGCTGCGTTAACATTATTGACAGGCAGATAACCAAACAAATCACCCCGCGTCATCTATAGCAGCTAAAATGTTAACCTTATCTTACCTACCATTAACTAAAGAGTTAGCATTGGCTATAGAGTTGTTGTGGGTGATGATCACGCAAAGGAGCTTTTGCGGAAACTCCTTTCCTGCACATTCTGCAGACATGCTAGCTGTCTTCCATCAAATGTCCCTAGGCATTCTTTAAAAAAACAAAATTTGCCCACACTTCAGACTTTGTCCTTTGTGAAGGATAATAAATGTACTTGGGGCTGTTGTCTCCTCCTTCAGTCAGGATTCCAGGATGAAAGTGCACCCACGCACAGGGCTAGACTGGGACCAAAAAAACGGCTCAGGCATTTTCGCCTCCTTTTTTTGACCACAACGCTGTTTGACGCGTTTTCAAAGCCATTGTCAAAACCATTGTCAAAGCCGTTGTCAAGCCGCTCACAGCCACTGGAAGTGGGAACCCCTGTCATTACAAAGCAGCCGCAGATGCCCTGGGTCAAAACGCTGTGGCCACTGAGGATGCGGATTCCGGTACGAGTACATTCAGCAATCAGCAAGTTCCCTGCGGTCATGCATGGTCCTCAAACATTTCTCAACGGATTTACACATTTCACAAAAATTAAATTTTATTTTTTGTATGAGGCAGGCTGACCAGCCCAAATATGGCATCGGTCCGTTCAGGCATTGCCTGGTACGCAACTTCAGCAAACTCAGGGACGCCTTGAGGGCTCATAGTGCCGTCTATGGGGTTTACCGCTACACTGGTAATTGTGACACCCCTTGCACACATTACAGCAGAATAAAAAGAGGAAATAAGAGCCCTCAGGTGGCACCATAGACTGTATATATTAATGGACAGAGTCACGCCTATCTCTGCCGTTCTAACTAATGGGCCAAAAAATGAGCTCTACTGGAGCAATCCAAAATGGCTGCGAGTGGTCCCGCCCACAAGAAAATTGTGAAAAAACGCATCTGCGCATGCGTCAGCCGGCGCAACTCCATTCATTTGAACGAGAGACTTAAAAAATTCACAGCAAGTAAACTAGAGTGGACCAAAAAAATCCACCCCCCTCAGCATTGACACACATGTGGAACGGAGCTTTGGGCCAAGAGCCAACTTTTGGTCCATCATGTAAAGACGTTTTTGAGAGGTCTGCCAATGCTATGTGTTAGCATTGGCTAATTCTACTTCTGGGTCCACCCCCATCGGCCCGGGGTGGTATTGCAAGCATGTCAGCGCACGTCATTTTGGCCACTTTTGAGCTGGGACCCTCCCCCACTGGGTGGCACACATCAGGATCTATTATTTAAGATAATTTAATAATAAAATAAGCTCAGTTGGTAGAGCATTGGCCTTTGGGCCTGGAGGTCGTGAGTTCGATTCCCACCATGGGACCTACTCCAACTGCTCCCACTGATGACTACTGTCGTTGTGTCCTTGGGCAAGACACTTAACCCCACGTTGCCTGAAGCCCCCTGCTGAAAGATCAAGGCTGTTTCACAATTGACAGAGCAGCCATCTTCCTGTGGACTCACCACCTGCAGAAGATCAGCGAGGGACTTGTGCGTTGGGTGGCAGCTCTCATTGCCACCCCCCCGACCCAGAAATGGACAAAGGGGTTGAAAATGAAATGAAATAAAATAATAGGATAAGATAATAAGATCTTGCAAGATGTCACATCTTTAGATCAAGGGGGTTAGGGAGACCACCCTCACTCAGCCCAAAGACTCACACGGCTTTATTTTTTTTTACACAAAAAATTACATGTTTTCTAATAAGATGAAGACATCATGTTTTAGTCTGATTTCACTTTTAAAAGACTCTTTCCGTTGGACAAACCACATGTGTCATATATGACACTCAAATAACGTACCCCAGCTTTAAACACGTGCTATTGAATAGGTTCTTTAGCTTTGAATTGCTGTCTTTATTTAATGTTTTGTTGCAGAAAGACCATATATTTTTCAGGGCTTGTTACTTTTCAAGCAGCTTTGTGGGAGGTTTTCAATGCCCGACTTTGAACTCTCTAAGGCTGCGGTAAAATGTGCAGCCTAAAGCCCGGTTTAAGTGGGCCAGGGCCCACTTCGCGATTAGACCCGGGCTTTAGGTGCCTTGTGACCGCGGAAACTGGGCTTTGGCATGTTTCCTCGAAGTGTGCTCAAGCACGATTGCAGACTGCGGCCACGGCCCACTTCCAAAGCCCGGATGAGGGGGGTCAGTGTGGTGGGGAGTGGGGGATGAGGTGTGGTGGGGACTTGATATTGTGCGTCACATTACGTCCCTCGCTTTCACAGTGATTGCAATAATACTTCAGACATTCAAGGATCAGTCTTTATTTAATCGCCAGAACATACCAACACACACTGTCTCCGGTCGCTCTGCTCGTACGGCACACTTTTCATTCTTTCATTTTCATTCATTCATTTCTCAGCGCTCTTACGCTCGTTACTAAAGAGAGTGTGTGTGTGTGCACCCGTGTCCGTGGCACACACACACACGCACACACATGTTACCCACTGAACTGCTGCACTTCGCATCAGAGCAATGTGGACAAGTGTGAGAGGTGTCTTTCCCTTAACAACGTGATCCATACTGAGCTGTTAGCTACAGTAGCAGAGCGTAAACAGGAAGAGAAACGAAAACTCAACCAGGACAACGAGGTAGTCGCTGGAGTTAGTATTAGCGCCACCTGCTGGACCGAGTGTTGTACCACAGCTTAGTTACTCTGGCATATTTGTGAATACACATTCATGTGACCGCGGGCCGATTTCACACCCCTGTGGTGACGATCCGGGCCATTTGGCCCAGTTCGCTTGTAAAAACCTATGTGACCGTGCCCTTAAATTGCCCTATAGTGAGTAGAGAGGACATTTGGACACAGCCTTCATGTTGTGATCCAGACCTGTAGATGTGAAAGCGCACTCAGACCCGGTGGGATCTTCTTGAGACGGTTATGATCCAGGTGAATCACTCTGAGGTCTGGAACACTGGACAAGCTGCCATTCTCCACCGTCTTGATCTGGTTAAAGCCCAGGCCCAGTCTGAGAGCAGAGAAACATTATCTAGGCATTATTTATAACTACATTATTTAGGTGTCACAGTGGATAGCAGTTGTGGTTCACAGCAAGAAGGTACAGGGTTTGATTCCACCTCCAGGATCTTTCCGTGTGGATTTTGCATGTTCTCTTTATGTCTGCTTAGGTTTCCTCTAGAGGACTATGCTGACAGGTAAGGATTTAATTATTGTGTTTGTGACTGTGACTGTGGAACGACAGATCCAAATGAGCTACATAGATACAATATGGTGTATGTATTTAACGCTCAAGCTGTTCTTAAAGTAGTATTAGAATTTAATATATAACTACAATATGTGTTTGTAATATTTCTGGTGTTCATTTTGACATGTTCAGATGAATTATGTTAAAAAAACTGCTTTAAAGTGGCACCTTTTCACTTCCGAATAGAAACTCTAGGGGGCACCAAAATGGCGGCGATGACGTAGGAGACTGACATCTCACAGCAGAGGACAGCAGTCATGGCTGGAAACTGTATGAGGTTTCACTGTCTGAACAAGGTATAAACATATTTTCATCTGTTTTATACATAATAGTGTGCAACTCTTTTAACCTTTTAGCCTTATTTGTGAGATTCAAGCTAACTAGTGTTGGGCAAGTTAGCTACTTGAAATCAAGATATCCTAAAACATGCTTACAAGGCTAGTATTCGTTTTTACATTATGCCAGTCTCACTTTGGTTGCCTTAGATTTATTTACCACAATGTACGTTGTAATATTCAAAAATGCTAATCAAAATAACTTGAATTAAATACGTATTTTACTTTTATGAACAAAAAGCTGCAAAAGTTGAAAACATAGACTACATGTGATGTAGGGGTGTTGAAAAATATCGATCCGGCGATATATCGCGATATTACGTCGCGCGATTCTCATATCGATCCAAAATGCAAAATATCGATATTTATACATACATTTTTGGCCGAAATTGTCAATGCAAAGGCGTACTTTTGTCCTGCGCTTGCACTCCCGCTCACTAGTTGGCAGCGCACGGCCCAGCCCGCCAAAGAAACAATAGTATCTCGCGAGAGTTGTCTTGGAATCAATACAGTCCGCTATAGTCTCGCGGTGTTTAGAGCACACAGTAAAACTCTCAACATGGCGGAGAGGGAACTGCGAGATGCTCCGAGGCACATTTACAAAGCTGAAATTTGGACTCACTTTGGTTTTTACATCAACGACGGACGCTCAGATTTGGATAAAAGCTACGCCATATGCAAAAGGTGCCATGCGAAAGTCAAGCACAGCGGGAACACCACGAACCTGCGTGCACATTTTGCAAGACATCACGAACAAGTGGAGGTAAACGGAAAACAAGCTACCTCATCACAACTAACTCTTGAACAAGCTAATTTAGTCAAGCTGCCTTCAAGCTCACAGCGTGCCACTAAAATAACACACTCCGTGGCTTACTACATGTGCAAAGACATGCGTCCTCTGAGCTCCGTGGAATGCGAAGGCTTTCGTTATATGATGAACACTCTGGAGCCCCGTTACAGCATACCATCCCGCCAACACTTCACCGATGTTGCTTTGCCCCGTTTATACAAAGAAGTGCAAGACACTGTGCTAAATGACCTTCGTTTTGCCGAGCGAGTTGCATTAACATGTGATGCCTGGACATCCAGGTCCACAGAATCCTACGTAACAATGACAGCGCACTACATCAACGGAGACTGGAACATGCATTCTCACATCTTGCAAACGCGACCAATGTATGACAGCCACACTGGAGAGAATATTGCGGTTTTACTGCGTGAGACGAATGGGGCCTGAGTGCGAAAAAACCCGTGATAGTAGTCACTGATAATGCTTCGAACATGACTGTGGCGGCTCGACTGGCAGAGATGACCCACATTCAGTGTTTTGCGCACAGCCTTAACCTCGTGTCACAGAAAGCACTCAAACTACCAGCAGTGGCAAGGCTGCTGGGGAGAATTAGACGTGTTACTGGATTCTTCAGACGCAGTACAACAGCAAGCCACCAACTACAGCTCAAACAAGTCCAACTGGAGCTACCAAAGCATAGATTGATTACAGATGTTGTCACTCGATGGAATAGCTCCTATGACATGACTGAGAGGTTTGTAGAGCAGCAACCTGCTGTCTGCGCAGCACTCTATTCCAATGAAGTGCGAAAGAATGAAAAGGAAGTATTCACACTGACTGAGACTGACATCACATGTGCAGAGGAGGTACTCAAAGCACTCAAGCCAATGAAAGATGCTACATTAGTGATGTCTGAGGAGAGCATGCCAACCCTGTCTGTGATTGCCCCACTTCATGTCAAGCTGATCATGGGAACAGAGGAAAACCCAGAGGAGTCAGATACAGTTAGGGGCATAAAGGCGGCTATAGCACAAGATCTGTATAAAAGATATGCCAATCAGAAGGAGACCCTGTACATGGCATCTGCAGTTGACCCGCGGTTAAAGAGTCTACCCTTCCTGTCTGAAGACGACACTGCCCACATCTTCTCCCGACTGACTGAGGCTGTGGTAGCAGAAATGCAAAAGCGCAGTGTAAGTAAATGAACGCTAAACTTGCATGTTTACAGTTATAACTGTGCATGTTAGTGTATTTCATAAATACAGTATTTATAAATATTAAATAATTAAAAGATTTACATTGCATGTATACTGTGAATAAAATCTTGTTTAATATTTTTCAGCCAGTTGAATGTGAGGAGGAGGATAAAGATGCACCTGGTCCCTCATCAGATCCTGCAACCAAGATGCCACCCCTGAAGAAACCCAGAGCATCATGTGCTTTAGCTGAGCTTCTTGGTTCCACATTCACCCTTCTCAAAAATGACACTGAAACTAAAACTGATGTAGAAGCTGCTGAAGATGAGGTGAAGATGTTCAGGATGGAGTCCTCTTTGCCCCTGAATGGTGATCCTCTCACTTGGTGGAGAGAACACAAAGGAGCCTATCCTCATATTTCCTCTGTAGCTCGTCGATTCCTCTGCATCCCAGGCACAAGCGTCTCTGCGGAGCGAGTCTTTTCCACTGCAGGAGACATTGTAACTGCACAAAGAAGTGCGCTGAAACCTGGACATGTTGACCAGCTTGTGTTTCTTCAAAAAAATCTTAAAAGAAAGCAGTAATAACTTTCTGCATTTATTTGTTCTTGGGATATACCTCATTTAAGTTGCACTAAAGCCATGTTGCACTAAAGCCATTTTGCACTAAAGCCATGTTGCACTAAAGTTGTTTAAAAAGCCACAGGCAGATTGTGTCATTTTATTTTGTTGTTGGCACATGGCATGTTAAAGCCAATGTTTGCAAAAGGAAGATATGCCAATAAAATATATTTTATACAAATTTACAGATTCGTCTTTTAAGTCATAAATCGCAATAATCGCCTTATACTGTAATATCGGGATATATCGTATCGTGACCTATGTATCGGGATACGTATCGTATCGCCAGATGCCAGGCAATACACACCCCTAATGTGATGCAATCATTGATAAAAATGCTAATTAAACCGTTAATAGGTGTTAGCATTTATGGATATTACAATGTACATTGTGGTAAATAAATCTAAGGCAACCAAAGTGAGACTGGCATAATGTAAAAACGAATATTAGCCTTGTTAGCATGTTTTATGATATCTAGTAGAGTTAGCTAACTTGCCCAACACTAGTTAGCTTGAATCTCAAAAATAAGGCTAAAAGGTTAAAAGAGTTGCACACTATTATGTACAAAACGGATGAAAATATGTTTATACCTTGTTCAGATGACAGTGAAACCTCCTACAGATTCCAGCCATGACGGCTGTCCGCTGCTGTGAGATGGCCTTCTCCTACGTCATCGTCGCCATTTTGGCTCCCCCTAGCGTTTGTTAAAAGGTGCCACTTCAAAGTGGTTTTTTTAACATAATTCATCTGAACATGTCAAAATGAACACCCGAAATATTATAAACACATATTGTAGTTATATATTCTGGATAGCAGCATATTAAATTCTTGTACTACTTTAAATATACACTGTCCCATCCAAATAATCAAATAAATACAAATAAAAACATCTTTGGTTCAGCGCTGTGGGGGGTGAGGGAGAGTACCTCTGAAGGCTCTTGTATCTCAGGAAGTCCTCCACCTCCACCTTTGAGATATCGTTATAATCCAGGTTTATCTCATTCATGGACTGTGGGCAATCTGAAACAAGAGAACAAGCATCAAAGCCGCTATCCTGCATTTAGAATGAACTTTAAAAAAACAAAGACGCTGACATGTTGACAATATATGGGACTTCTGGACAATATAAAATATTGCTCTTATGTCATGTCCTCTTGAACTGGACACAAAGGAAAGATTTAGGATTAGTTTAATGCCCCTTGGTTTTGGTCCCGGTCTCAGCCTCCTTTCACTGGCTGGCCTGATTTGCAGGATAGAACTTGCCAAGTCTTTACCTTTGGGCACTCTGGTGAGTTTCGCCTCAGACAGTCCTAAGTACAGCGTGGACATATCATTAAAGGCTCCAATCTCCAGCCCACTGTTGGACAGAGGGTTGGCTCCCAGTTCTGTGGAAACACAAATGCACACACATATTTATATTTTTACACACACACACACACACACACACACAGTACAGACCAAAAGTTCTTTATCTTCATGACTATCAAAATTGTAGATTCACACTGAAGGCCTCACACTATGAATTAACTCATGTGGAATTATGTACGTACCTAAAAAGAAAAGTATGAAACAACTGAACGTATGTCTTATATTCTGGGTTCCTCAAAGTAGCACCTTTTTCTCTGATTACTGCTTCACACACTCTTGGCATTCTCTTGATGAGCTTCAAGAGGTAGTGACCTGAAATGGTCTTCCAACAGTCTTGAAAGAGTTCCCAAAGATGCTTTGCTCTTGTTGGCCCTTTCGCCTTCACTCTGTGGTCCAGCTCACCCCAAACTATCTAGTCCATAGTCATGAAAAGAAAGGACACTCATTGAATGAGAAAGTGTGTCCAAACCTTTGGTTTGTACTGTGTGTAATATATATATATATACACACATTACATTGAGCATGCACAGACAGGCCGTTAAAAGTGAGTGTGTCTGTGTGTATTCTCACCCAGCACATTGAGCTTGCGCAGTCCTTTGAAGGCATCCTTTTTGACTCGTTGGATCTTGTTTTCATGGAAGCGAAGTTCTGACAGGTTTGGGGGCAGGTTTGAAGGCACGTCCGTCAGATAGTTGTAGGACAGATACAGCAGCTTTAGTCGGTGCAGGTCTCTGAAGGCGCGTGCATGGATCTTTGTCAGCGCATTGTTGTTCAGAAACAAGCCCTGTGAATGTGTTCATGTTGTTACCTAATGGAATCTCAATATTCATATACAATTATTAAAACATAATTAATTTACATAATCTTCAAAAGGCACCTAGGACCTTTTGCTCTGATTACTGCTTTGCACACTCTTGGCATTCTCTTGATGAGCTTCAGGAGGTAGTGACCTGAAATGGTCTTCAACAGTCTTGAAAGATTTCCCAGAGATGCTTAGCACTTGTTGGCCCTTTCGCCTTCACTCTGTGGTCCAGCTCACCCCAAAACCATCTGGAATGGTTTCAGGTCCGGTGACTGTGGAGGCCAGGTCATCTGGCCCAGCACCCATCACTCTCTTTATTGGTCAAATAGCCCTTACTTAGCCCTTACTTAGCCCTTAATAGCGTTACTTACAAGTGTGTTGTGGCATCTGTGTATCATACAGCTGCGGTCGTTCACTCCGCACACACAGAACTCATGGCAATTGTTATGGGAGGTAAAAAAAAAGTCGGGCTTGATGCGGGTTTTGGGCCTGAACATTCAGAAACCATATCGGGCCGGGCCGGGCTGGGGCGCCACCCCCTTGGGCCCAGATAATATGCCCGTGCAGGGCTCTACCTTCCACCACCAACCATTCTTACACACACATACTCACCCAGAATCATTCTAGGCAATTTGGAAGAAGTGTTTTGCCTAATGACACAAAAACAGTTTAAAACTTTAAAGCCCTCCCATTGCAGCACCTGGTGTTCCCAGAGGTCTCCCATCAAAGTACTAAACAGGGCCTGTCCTTCTTAGCTTTAGAGGTCTGAGGGATCAGACTTTCATCTGCAGGCGTCTCATTAAAAATGTTGGCTCAGATAAACCTTACGTAGAGAGCGGTGAGGCCTTTGAAGTCGTCCTCTTTGATCTGTGTGATGTCGTTGTTCTGTAGATCCAGCATCACGGTGTCCGGAGCGATCTTCTCTGGGACTGAGATCAGACCTAAACACACATGTTAGATGTTAGCCTCTGAAGGGTACACACACACATACACTAAGCAAACATACACACACACACACACACACGCACACACGCACTTGCATACATATATACTCACACACACACGCATACAAACATGTTTTTATGTTTTATTCCTTATGTATGGGGCTTTGGGCTCTTGTAGTTGATATACTGCCCATTAAAAATTTGGACTTTTCGCAATACGCCCATAATATTATAAGGAATACAACTACAGCTCAGTTTGTTGTGTTGCAAACGACCAGGAAGTACGACCACATTAGTCCGGTCCTCAGGTCACTGGCTTCCTGTGGCTCAGAGAATAGACTTTAAAACAGCTCTGCTTGTGTACAAATCTCTCCATGGCCTCACACCAAAATATATTAGTGACATGTTAGTACCATACGAACCAGCCCGGACTCTGAGGAGCACAGGGACTGGACTCCTGTTAGTGCCCAGAGTCAGAACTAAACATGGGGAGGCTGCTTTTCAGATTCATGCTGCTAAAATCTGGAACAATCTTCCTGAATATGTGAGACAGGCCTCCTCTCTGACAATGTTTAAAACCAGGTTCAAAACGGTTCTGTTTAGCTGTGCATACAACTGAGGGATTTTATATCTTTATCTTTCTTTTGAATGTTCTGTGATTATTTATGATTTTAATGCTTTCTTGTTTTGTTCAGCACTTTGAATTGCCTTGTGTATGAATTGTGCTATACTAATAAACTTGCCTTGCCTTGTGAGGACAAACCTGCCGAATTATCCCAGTCAAACATCCCCTTTATCCAGTTCAATCTGTAAGATTTTGCTTTTAATATGTTCATGGCTGAAGACACGACTGAAGCTCTCAGAGTTGTAAAAAATTTGCTACAAAATAACCCTGTGCTGGCAGTGAAAAAAAACCTCAAACTGATGTGGGGTTGAACTCATGGATCCACTCATCCTGAAGGTTAGGGTTAGAAGAGAAGGAAAAAAAACCTCGAAATATCAGCCCTAAATCGCAACAGAGAGAGAAAGACCAGAGAGAAAGAGAGAGAGAGACAATAGTAATAACTAACACTAATAGGAGCCATTGGTACATAGAAAGCAGGATGACCACTGTCCAGAGATGTTAATAAATATGCCAAAAGGTCCCAGATTATCACTGTCGTTCACCACTCAAAGGTGAAGGACCTTTGAGTGGTAAATGAACCACTCAAAAACTCAGTGGGAAAAAATACACACTGCATATTGATCTATCTTTAGTTGCTATGGTCATTTTAAACTTTTCCAATCTTTAAAGCTGAAGAAAACAAGAGACCGATAGTTCTATACCTTTGTCTGAGCACTGCACCACTCCAGGAGCACAGCGGCATCCAGGCGGGCAGTCGTCGTCATCGTCATCATCATCATCATCGTCATCATCATCGTCGTCCGCCATCATGGACTCCTCCCCTTCAGCCTCCAGCTGCAGACCCTGGTCGGCCATCTGGGTCTCGTAGTCCCGGATCAAGTCCAGAACCGGCCGAGGTTCATGGGGACTGGACTGAACCAGAACCAGAAGAGCCAAGAGCAGCAGGAGCCTCATCTTTAGTCACCAAAGCACCACTGTAGTAGAAGAGCTGTGTTTACTGTGACTGAGTGAAAGCAGATAGAAGAGCTGTTTTAACTGGGACTGAAAAGACTTCCAGAATTTCACTCATTTTTGAGACAAAACGCAGAGCTGCTGTTTGTGAATGAGGCTGCGGCTCCTCAAACTCTTCAATGTTTCCACAGACCAACATGGAAAATAGGGAAACGGCCAAAGCTGCACCTCGGACTGAGAAACAGGACTGAACCAGGTCCAAAGCAGGACTTATCCAGGTCAGAAGCAGGACTGAATAAGGACTTAACCAAGTCTAAAGCAAGACTGAACCACGACTAAAACAGGATTAAAATAGGACTAAAGCTGAAGATGGTGGAATCTCCTATTCATCCAGGATCACAGAGAAATCTTTCTCTGTGACATGTATTTAAGAGTGAACCGAGAACCTTCACCGCTCTGTAATCCTCAAATGTTAGTAGCAGATGTGGAAGTCGAGGTTGCACCGTAGCAACCACCAGGAAAACAAGGATAGTAGTTTTTCTCATCCCCATAGAGTTTAATAACATGAAGCAGCATCTTTTACACATCTTTGTCTTTGCATTTGAGATTGAAACTAGACCTGAGTTCAGTCTGGAGGTGGCCAGGGTGAGATATAGTGTGAGTCAAGTCTAGAGTGTGGTCTACAGCCTCTTTCTCCATGAGTTCAGAACATTTTCCACTTCTCCAGTCTGAGGTCTGGTTAATGATGATCTCATGATGAAGAAGGAGACTGCGGCCGGAGCCACAGGAATCTGTCTCCTCAGCAAATACTTCACACCAAGAACAGAGGAGTCCCCAAATGTACCCCACACTAACACTTATTCACTCGGCTCAAACAGGAGTCCCCAAATGCACATACACTGATCTGAACCAAGAGCGGCTCTACCCTGAGCTCCTGCTATGTGACCAAGCTCCTGACCCTTTTTTTAAGGCAGCTGCACCGATCTGTCTGTCAATCGCACGTCCTTCATTGGACCGGAACCTTTGCGCCTGCACAGGACCAGGACATCTCTCTGGTCCAGATCTTCTTCACACTCTGCGCAGGCCGTCTCAGTTCAGGTTGATGGTTCTGGTTTGTCGAACCCAACATCTGCGAACACATTTAATTCTGTGGTCCCAAACCAGATTCCCTCAGACCCCAGGACAAACTTTGTCTATTAGTGAACGATGTAGTACAGATTACTAATGACAACTTTCATAATTCATAACCACTGTAGTAGTAGTGAGTGACACACACAATAGTGATTCCACTGACTCTTGTGTGTGATATTAGACACGGCTCATATTTGTGTTTGTTAGAAAACAGGTAAACTCTTAACGTGTTTGTGCCTGCTCAAACAACTCACTTCTGCAGCCAAATAAAACAAATAAAGAGTTCTGAATCTCGCTCCGACATTCCCAAATAATGAGTCTGCTTTTGTTCTTGCCGGGCACCGACATGTGTTTGATAGATCAGATCCACGCCACGGAGATCAGACACAAAGATCAGTTTTCATTAAGTCCCCATTCCCTGGTTCTTTTAGCATGTGCTGCCCTTTAATATCTGTGACTGCTCAGAGTTTTTTGTGGTGGTTGTGTGGATGAGGTTCTTTCTCCTCTCTGATAGTAAATAGACATCTTTGTTCGACAATAAATGGCTTCACACAACGCAAATGATGAGTGGGAATACAACCCACACCCAGTGGAATGTGCTACACATGTATTTAGATTGATTGTGTTCATCACTGGCGAAAAAGTGAAACTCTGGTCTCTCTCTCTCCGTTCTCTGTCTGGTCTCCCTGGTCTATCTCTATTCTCTCTCTGGTCTCCTTCCCTTGTCTCTCTCTGGTCTTTCTCTGCTTTCTCTCTCTGATCTCTCTCTTGTATTTTGAGATTAAAGTGTGTATTCATGCCTTAATCTCTTTGTGTGTACATGGTATAAATCCTTGTCTCAGCTGACGTTACAGTCTGTTTCTGATCGAATGTGAAATACTGTGTGTGTGTTTTATTTATGACTGTTGAGTTTTTTCTCCACTGTGGCACATTGTTGGACTGAGCTTCATTAAACGCGGTCTGCTCCGACTTTACTGCAGCGCTGGTATTTTGAACCGGAAGTGGCAGAAACTGAATGAGAGAATTTAGTGTCACTTTGAACAACTGAGAACGACCAAAACCAGAACTAAACCAGGTCTAAACCAGGACTGAAAAAAGGACTAAGCCAGGACCAAACTAGGTCTAAACCAGGACTGAAACAGAACTAAAGCAGGACTAAAGGACTAAAGCAGGACTAAAGGACTAAAGAAGTACTAAGCCAGGACCAAACCAAGTCTAAACCAGGTCTGGAGCAATTACTAATATTCTCCATGACTTTAATCTGGATATCAGCTTGTTTTAAAACAGTTTGAAAGAAAGAAGCCAGATTCTAAAACAGTGATGTAACTGAGGTTGTGCTGAAAAAATAATAGATTTTAAGATATATTTTGAATTTTTAGTATACGTATATTATATTTTGAGTTAACCATAATCCTATCTTATAAGTATTATAAAAAGGTCTAAAACAATGTGGTAAAAGAGACAAGCCTTGACTTCAGAGGTCCGTAACGCTCAGACCTCTGCCACTTTAAACTACGTCATCATAAAGCTGGAACATCAACAGGCCCTGCTCAGACCACAAATCAAGTTAGCAATCAGTGGATATTGTTTTCTTTGAGCCAAAAGACCTGTAAAGCTGTTGAATCATCCAAGTAAAAGTTAAACATGCTGTCTTTATCTGATCAGAAAACATGTTATGTTTTGTGTAAGAAAGAGCATTTAGAGTCACTACTTGACTCTTTGGGCTGAGAGCTGACTGGCTGAGTGAGGGTGGTCCTCTCTTTTTCACTCTTCTGTCTGAAAAAGATGATTTAGATATGTGATGAGGCAAAATACATGATGCAAAACCTAATGATAGAAAAAAAATATTTTAGAGGCAGACACTTGAGACATGGATTTCTTTTGTTGTATGAAAGTTTGGTAGCTTAGCTTTAAGAGCAGTATAAGGATAAAAATACACCAGACCAGATAAAGAAAATACACTGAGACACTGAACATAGCCAAACATAATCATAAATAAAGTTACCTGAGGTCCTGTGATCAGAGCAGTAGCTGAGGCTCACTTCATCCCAGACTCAGAAGCAGGAGTGAGAAGACTGCCTCCTCCTGGACCACCCCTCTCCTCCAGCCCCCCTCCCTTTTAGTAGAGCCTGGTACCCCCTCTCTGTGCTGTGGAGCCTGGTTCCCCCTCCACATGGTCTAGAGATCACAATTGCCGTTGTCCCAATCAGCTAATTACATAGACTGTGATTTAACTATTATTTTAGTGATTTGAAAACAAAAGGAGACTAATGGAAAGTAATACATCAGTTGAATTTGTGAACATTTCTTCATTTGAGTTTATGTTGAAGATTTGTGTTTTTTGTCTCTGGTCTCTTTCCGGTCTCACTCTAGTCTTCCTCTGGTCTCTCCCATTGGTCTCTTTATGGTTTCTCTCTGATCACTGGTATGTCTCTGGTCTCTGTCTTGTCTTTCTCTAGTCTCTCTCCCTGGTCGCTGGTATGTCTTTGTACTCTCTCTGGTGTCTGCTATGTCTCTGGTCTTTCTGATTGCTGATATGTGTCCGGTCTTTCTGGTTGCTGATGTCTCCGGTCTCTCTGGTCTCTCTCTGGTATCTCTTTGTAAAAACTGTATTGTAGCTAATAACTAAAATTCTCCATGACTTCAGTCTGGGTATCAGCTTGTTTCAAAACAGTTTGAATGATATGTCTCTTGTCTCTCTGGTATTAACCTGTTTTTTGATATGTCCCTGGTTTCTTTCTGGTCTGGTATTTCTGGTATGCCTCTAGTCTCTCTTTCTGGTCTCTCACGCTCTCTGGTCTCTCTGGTACTACCTCCCACCTCTGCTGTTGAGTCTGAGAGGTCTGATGTCATGTTTATGAGTTAAGGAAAGAGTGAATGAAGCTTCACCACAGTTTGCTCCTGATGCTCAGACAGCTACACCAAAATCACTGGAGCCAAAGCAGAGAGGTCAAAGGTCCAGGAGGAATGGCAAGCACAACTCAGAGGACAGGGGTGAAGTTCAAGGAGCACACCAGAGAGGTCAGGGGGAAGTAGAAGGAACACACCAGAGATGTCAGGAAAGAAGTCCAAGTAGCACACAAGAGAGGACAGGGTTAAGTTTTACAAACATTTCCCTCTACATTGAGCTCCGTTCAGGCCATGATTCACAAATGGAAAGAGTCTGGCACCACTACAAATCTATCAAGACATGGCCGTCCACCTAGGCTCACAAGAACAAGGAGGGACCTGATCACAGATGTAAAACTAAGTCTGCCCTTCCGCCTCTGCAGCATCCCAGTGTCAGTTACGGGGGTGGCAGTATCATGCTGTGGGCAATGAGTCCAGTCCTCAATCCAAATAAAAATCTATGGAAACTGCTGCTCACAAACGCTCTCATCTGACAGAGCGAGAGCTGTTATGCTAAGAAGATTTGGGAAAATTATGCCGACTAGAATTATTATTATTATAATTTTTGGGCTCCTTCCCACCTGTGGAGGACCCTGATCTAGACCCCCAGTGTCCTCCATCTGCTCCTGTAGGTCCTTCTCCAAAGCTCACAACTATAGGTGAGGGTGGGGACGTTGCAGACACTACTCCCTCTTCACCACAACCTTGAAACTTCAGGCAAACAGAGTCTTCTTCTGCCAGTAGATGATTCTGCCGCTAGAGTGAGTTTGGCGTTCTGTAACAGTTTAAACCCGTTAAAGTTAAGTAGAGACTTTTATGCTTTATTTAATATTTTTTTCAATTCTCATAAAGGATCTGTTCCACCGGAGCGCTTCCCGTTTGGCTCAACAAACACACTGTTCTCTGGAAGCCTTGTGTCCACACATGGTTCTTACAGTTGTCTCCACATGGTTCTCACAGCTGTGGTGATGAACAGAGCCTCG